TTTCAAAAATTTGAGGTTATGTTTCCAAAGTTTGAGGTTATACTCTTAAGTTTTGAGGTTATGCTCTCAAAATTTTAGGGTTATGATTCTCAATTTTGAGCTTATACTCCTAATTTTGTGGTTATGCTCTCAATTTTTGAGATTATGTTCTTGGTTTTTAAGGTTATGTTCCTGATTTTTGAGGTTATGTTCTCAATTTTTCGGAATGTTTTCCCGATTTTTGAGATTATGATCCAAAGATTTAAGGTAACAGTCTCTATTTTTGAGGTTATTTTCTATTTTCTCAAGGTTATGTTTATGATTCGTGAGGTTATGTTCCAAATTTTTAAGGTTAAAATCTCTAAATTTGAGGTTATGTTCACGATTTTTGAGGTTGTATTCCTGTTTTTTGATTAGGTTAAATTCTTGAGTTTTAACCAGAAATCTCCTCAATTTCTAAACAAGTTCTAAATTTCACTAGAAATTCAAAGTTTACTTTCAAAACTTCCTTCAATTCACATCCCCAAGTTCATGGTATTCTTAACATTTCAACAAAAAAAAAAAAAAACTTTAAAAAAACCAAGAAACAATTTTAAACTTAAAAAGTAATAGAAAACTGCAAATATGCTTAATTACAGTTGAGAAAAAAGAGAAGTCATGTGAAAGATTTCTTTTCTTTCTTTACATTTTACAAAGTAGATTGCTTAATGGTGTGGAAAAAGTTTTTTATATGCTTTGCTTTTAAACAGCAAGAAATGTGTATTTGAAAGTTTTACTCTGTTCAGTGTTCAATGTTTTTGGGGTGAATTGGGACGGGGTTTTTGGGGTTATATCTGAAAAATTGAGGCAAGATGTGAGCATTTTTTTATGAAAAGTTGGTAAGTTGAATAAAGGAAGTTGTCAGTGCACATCCCTTGAACTCCATCCACACCATCACCCATCAAACTACTCCCATCTACCCGTAAAAAGATTAAAAATCTCTTCTGTTATTGCTCGAAATTAAAATAATTTTCCAGTTCATTTCACACCTGATTACGTAGGAGAATGATAATTGAATTTAATTGAACGTGCTCAAAACTGTAACTCTGCTATCCTTTTTATCAACTTCTCTCCTTTATTTTCATGCAATTAAGTTCCTATTTTTTTTCGGGAAGGATTTAATTGGTCGTTGAAACTTGAGTGCATGCGAATTAAATTTTATAATAAAATGGGTTAGTTGAACTTTAATGACTGTGTCTTTGTGAATTATTTAGATATTTTATGGAAGTGGAGTTTTGTGGGTGGGGAAATTTCTATGATGAAGTATTCAAGTCAAAGTTGAATGGATTATTATGTTTGCTATTTGCAGTTTAAAGACTGAATGGATTTATTTATAAAGATGAGAAAATTGTGAATGAAAAGCTCATTAAAAGGTCATTGGGATGTGAAGATTCCGTAGAAGTTGAGTTATTGATAAGCTTAGTTGCACTCATTAAGTTTATTTTGCAAGCTTGAATGCTTGAATGGCAAGAATGTTCAGAAACTATCAGTGCTTTGACCTACATTTGACTTTAAGTATAAGGACTTTAAAGAATAGATCTAGAAAGGATTCGAATGTGTTTAGATGTCTGCAAATCGAGCCACAATAGCAAGCATCTTCACCGTCAACAACAGCATCATATATGATACATTTTAAATTCATTAAATCTCTCAAAACCTCACCACTCATCATCCACAATAAATCACTAATAACTTTAAAGCAATAACGACAAACAACTGATCCATCTCCTCTTTGAACTTATCCACAATCTAAAAGCTCACATCATCAAATTTAAAAAACCGAGACAGAAAAGATTTATGAAGCTTTGAAAATGCAATATTTTTTAAACCCCCCCGACTCTCAATCCAGCCGGATCCTAAAGTGCATTCATTCATTCATTTTTAACCACATTGACTTGTGGTGTACTTTTCAAATCCATCTGTACTCGTCAGCTCTCCGCATTGTTTGGCTCATTCCGTAGAGCTTTTTTTTAAGTAATACCAAATGCTGATAAAAAATAGAAAAAAATCCAGTGAACATGAAAAAAGAAAGATTTGTGAGCGAGTGGGAGATGTAATGTTTGAATGGTACTTAAAACCAACTACATCAAATGTATATTATACAAGTATTAAGCTCGGTGATGCTTCTGTGAGCAGCTGCAGCTGGTGTGTGAAAATTCTTCTTCTTTTTCCTTATTTCTCTTTAAATTGTGTACATTTCTACGAAACTCGAATGATATTTGCTTTCTTCTATTTGATACTTGTGGAAAGTGTGGAGGAAGTAAGAAGTCAAGATGGAGAAGAAAAGAATAAGGAAAGTCGTTTAGGATGATAAATAATGGAAGAATATAGCAATGAATTGGAAGATGAAGTGAATGGATGAAAGTTTTTATTGGAACTAAGTATCCATAGTCTGAGCTGCAGGGGTGGAGCTAGGAATTTGAAGAGGGGGGATAAAAAATTGATTTTTAATCTTTCATAAAACTGAAGAAATTTCTGTTCAAGCAAGGAGATTTGTCACTAAAATCCCCTTTCCCAGGCTATGTGCCTACTCAGCTGTGCAAATGCATCTTAAAGCTACAACTTAATTGAAAGAGTTGCTTTGAAATAATAAATTTGAATATTTTTTTGAATTTTGTGCAACTTTGTAATGGAAATTTATTGCCCGTTCACTTATTACGTAACCATTTTTAAGAGCGATGAGCATAATTGATGCATTTCTGTACTGATAATGAAGTTCATAGCTTCCCTTTGTAGGCTACAGACAGAAATGCCATCAAAGGAGTGGTTCGGATCCCACTATAAGTTGCAGGTCAGACGCTGAGCATCTTTAGCCTTCGATTAATGATATTGCAACGTCAAAATCAACGCTCCAAAACTTCTTTCAGGAGGACATGGAACTCCTTATCCTTATCTTATTTAAAGTCCAAAAATTCAACAAAAAAATTAAGTTTTAAAGGATTGTTGAATGGGTAGACACAGATTTATCCAAATTTATGTTAAAATCATTGCTATTTTTTCTTAAAACTTTCAGAAAAGCAGCAAGTCAAACATAAATCCATCCCAAAAACATCTCAAATAATACCTTTCAAGTACCCCCAAAAAAAGATTAAAAATAAAGAAAATTCAATCCTCATGAAAGTCTAAACAGAAAATTTCCAATTTCAGTCAAGCTGTTGTTTATGATTTACACAAAAAGACCTTGAAAATTTCTGTCAATATTTATAATTTATTTTTTGAAAATTTTCCTTCCTTTACGAGACCCAAAAGTAAACATTATTTTTATAATAATTTAAAATTGTAAAGTTTCTCAAGCAAATTCTCATTACTCCCACTCATAGAATAAATTTATTATTTTTTTAATAAAATCAAAATATGGAAAATTATTCCATTTTGACTTCAAAAGAAACGAAAAAAAAAGCTTTCATCCGTGCCATACAGTGCCTTTTTCCATATAAATGATATACCGAAAAGAAAAAAAAATCCATTACGATTATTGGTTTGGTTTATTGAAGATTTATTACATTTTTGCTCAGCATATATGATATTGGGGGTGTTTGGATGTTACGTCACTGTTGGAGATGAGTTTGAAATATTCTAAGGGGCAATTCGCTTATTATGTAATGCAAAAAAACGACCTTTTAGACACCCCTTTTCCGTACAAAATCCTAGAACCCCTTCCAGATAAAAGCGTTACGTAATGAGTGAATGGACCCTAACCATGAGCCACAGCATTATCAAGGCAGACCTTAGACCCTCCTATGACCCTATCTGATAAACCAGATTAAGCTTCGATGTTTAAGAATTTTAAACTTTACGTAACTTTCAAACAATTCCCACACCCTACCCAAATATTGATGATGTAGACCAATAATAAGAAAACAAAATTTATATGCTGAAAAATAAAAAGGAACTACCAAATTCTTGTAAATTATTGCATCTATCAAAATCATAATGGTCAGTTTATTGTTTCGTAAAAGTGTGATAAATTGTGGATAGTTTTTTTGTGTGTATGAGAATCATGTTCATTGCCAGAGTAAAGCATAACTATAGAAACAATGAAATAGAAAGACCATTGTAAGTGGATTTTATTGAAGAGATGAGATGAGTTATCTGTGTACAATAGTTCTATAGCTTTTCAGACGCTTTTAGTTACTATAGATATGAAATGTAAACTGAAAATAATGGATATTATAGAATATTCGAATAGCTTTGTGATGATGTGGTAGCTTGGGAGGGTATTATTAATGGGGTTCTGATTGGTTTGAGGTTAGATTGAACTTTAGGGGTTAAGAAGTCAACATTCGAAGGTCTTTACAATGGACTTGCTCAAAAAAGTTTCATTTATTTCCAGATTCAGGTTTAACTTCATATTATACCTCTAGAACAGTGGTGCCCAACCTTTTTTGTGCCACGGCACACGTTGATGGTAAATCATGACTAAAACCACATACTAAAAACGATTTGTGGGATATTTCGAATTTTTTTGCAGCACTTTAGTGTGCCACGGCACATAGGTTGACCATCACTGCTCTAGAAAAAGCAAAAATCAACATTATTACTCAAATTTTACACGCTCTTGAATACTGATTTCCATAAAATTTCAATTAACTTCAACGTCAAGCGCTTCCAACAAACCATCAAAAACAGTCGAATATCAATCGAAAAAAAATCATTTGGGTTCATTCACTTATGACGTCCGTTAAAAAACATGATATCAATGTCATTCTACTGTCACAAAATTTATATGAAAAAATTCCTTTGATTGAGCCTTCATAAAATCCTAGACCCCCTCCCCACCAAAATATCAGATGTCATAAATGAACAACCCCTTTTCCAAGGTGGATCAGAATATTATTTTCGATTACAACGTCAAATATTACCTTTAAAATCTCTATCAATTTCAAACCTTACAATTTACTCAATTTCTCATTTCACATACAGCACAAAAGTCTCGATTCAACAAGCTTTTATTACATTTCTTTCTTCATTTTCAATTACAGAACAACCAAAGGACGGTAATTATGATGATGGACAATTGATTATTGTAACCGACAGTCAGATCATTTCTATACCATTACATCGATGTAATAGTGAAAAGATTAATAGTTGCAGGTGAGTTCAAATGATGAAAAAGTCGTCGTCAATTGTTGACTCGATTTAATTGAGTTCAATGTGGTTAGGTTGATGAACTTTTTTGAAATTAAAAAATTTTTCATCTCATTTTTAGCGACTGCGTTGAGCTGCAAGATCCATACTGCGCCTGGGACAAGATTGCTGGAAAATGTCGTTCGCATGGTGCACCACGATGGCTAGACGAAACATATTTCTACTCAGAAGTATCAACCGGCAAACATTCAGCATGTCCATCAGGAAAGACATCAAACAAGGATCCAAATGTTGAATCCAAAGGTTATCGTGATGATTTTGACATGCGAATGGGTATGTTTATATGCTATTTAATTTAATTTTATGTATTTTGTCATGCAAAAAAAGAAAAATCTTCAAATGCTTTGTAAAATGTCATTAGCTTTGTTATTGAAAATACATGTCCGCCCAGATATGTACGGGTTGATGACTGTGTAGGTATTTATGAGGATGCAATCGTGACATGTGCTCATGACATGTGTTGAGTTGATTATGTATTTTGTGTTAATGTCAGGTATGAATTCAGTTCAAAGGTTTGAACTTTTTCGAGCTCAGCTTGCACATTTCTTGTTAAATAAACTTGAAACGTCCATCAACATAGAGGTCGTTTGCTTGTGACGTCCAAAATTAACAGTCATTTTCAAAAGGGGCCGTTCACTTATGACGTCCATGGGGGAGGAGGGGGGGGGGGGGGTCAGCAAGAAAAGAACAATAGAAATTCCTGGAAATCCATTGCTCTTTTTTGAAAAATGACCGTTAACTTCGGACGTCATAAGTGAACGATCCCAAAAAGAACAATGGATTTCTAGGAATTTCTATTGTTCTTTTCTTGCTGACCCCCCCCCCCCCCCTTCTCCACTGGACGTCATAAGTGAATGGCTTCATATTTCATGCAGCAATAATCTTAACAAAACGTCAATACTGAATAATTCAATCTCATTTAAAATTTCTCAATAAGTTCATAACATTATATAAGCACATACATGAGCTGATAAGCATGTCAATTGATTGCTAAGACAACAAAATGTTCAATATTAAATTTTGCCAATCACATCTCATAAATGAATAATAATAATAGTCATTAAAATAGCATACAACATCAGGCAATGAACTGACATGCTGAATGAATGAAATTTTTGATATGAAATTTGTTCAAATTTAATTGATATTGTGATATTTTCCTGGTTAAAACTGAAATTAAAATAGCACAAGCAATAACAATAGAATTTACTTTGTTATTTTATCAAAAAAAAAATTACTATTGTTGCTATAGAAACTATGAATAAAGCTTTTATACTCTTTGTTCCTTTATGCCATTTTGCTTGTGTTTTATATAAATTTAATGAAGGTCCGACCTCCTTTTTCCATTCTCCCTCACGTCTGGCTAAATCCTCTTTATGAAAGTTTAATTTAATTTTCTATAAACTTTTGTTTTTGAATTTTATTTTGTAATTTTTGCTCTTTTGTTTTTTTTTATTTCCGTTTATTTGAAATCTTTTGATCGTCTGGACAAATATTTGCTGAGGGATTTATCAATCTAAATAAATTGGGTGCTAGCTTTGGCTAGTAAAGAATTTTATTATTTGTGTAAATTTGATTAAAAATGAGTTCAGATTACAAAACCTAGTCATAGATTGAAATCAAGCTCATGCAAATAATCGTGAAAACTCACAGTTCTTATTAAACAACTCATTTTCGATCGGCACATTGTGAATTTCGTTGAAATGTTGAACCAATCAACAACCACGTGGCAAACACTTGACGTCCACTTGGACGTTGAATGGCAAACACTCGAGGTTCACTGGACGTTGGGTGGCAAACACAAAGTTCTTATTAAACATCTCATTAAATAGGATCAACCTGTATCTAGGGCAAAACTATAAAATCCTCTCGTTCCTTTGACAATGACTCACTCCATTAACATCAGCTCTAATGTGTCATTCTTGTATCTCTGGATACAAATAAGAAAATTCTATCAAAATCATCAATTAGTATTAAACCATAAAATAAACATAAAAATGTGGTTTAATCACCCAAGCAACCTACTAGCTATGATGACCTTTTTATTTATATATTTTATCTATAAATATGGAGTGAGATGGAATTATATTCAGTTATGCAGAAGCATAATGTAGCGTTTAACGACTTCATGAACTTTATTTTAATAGAGATGATACATATTTACGTAAACATGTGAATGTACCATGTAATGCGATACTGAATACATAAATTTATGAACAGAAAAAAAGAATGATAATGCTGCATGTTGAAAATATTTTCAATTCCTACTCCAGCTTGCTACATGCTATGTAATCAAATCTTTTAACATTTTTTTTTTCTCTCCCATTTTGCATTTATTTTTCAGGTAAGGACGGTGAATTAAGCGGAACAATGCAAGATAAAAGCTATGATGGTATGAATGGACCACAAATCCGAGCGGATGCTATTAATGCACAATACACTGTTGAAACTGTTGTCATGGCTGTACTAGCTGCTGCCATTTTTGCACTACTTGTTGGCTTTATCACTGGATATTTCTGCGGAAGACGATGTCATAAGGATGAGGATGATAATTTGCCATATCCAGATACCGAATACGAGTACTTTGAACAACGATCTAATCTTAATCGGTGAGTATTTTGAGACACAAATGTGAGGATATGTTCAAGAATTATATTAAATTTTCCATTCTAGCCTACAAACCGAACCCAAATTGTTACCACAAGTTGAAGAAGTTACATATGCCGAACCCGTTTTATTACCCCAACCCCCAAATCCAAATAAAATTCATCAACCACCGATGGGCTCACCAAAGAGCACATTAAGGAAACCCATGATGCCACATCATCATGGTGGAGTCAATTCAGAAACTTTATTCCAGGTATGTAGAGGGTTAGGGGAGTCATTGAGTACGACACTTTGATTTTCGGAACTTAAGCTCAAAATTTTGTTAAATTCTACTCAGAACCCCAACTTTCCTATTCAGTTAACATCAAAAACCGAAAATCTTCGTCCAAAACTTTCAAATAAACTCACTGATAGAAATTTAATTCGATTTCAGTTCCAACCAGATGGATATAATCCACCACGCGATGGTTTTCGCGGACGTGATAATTTCGGAACACTAAGATCCCAACAGGGCGACATCTACAGACGTGACGGTTTCTCAACGACGAGAAGCGTCAAGAAAGTATATCTATGAGACGGGTTAGGGGCGACCGAGCAACAAATTATAAATCAACCAAATAATTTATCGAATAATCTAAATAATCATCATCATAGCAACAATCAACAACATAGCATGAATATCATAAGCAGCAATAGCGAAAAAAGCAATAATTTATCGCATCGAAGCCATCATCATCACAGTAATAGTAACAGTTCACATGGCACAAATAGAAGTTTAAATCGCATGCGAAGGCCGCCCCGACATCATGTACGCTCGGAAAGTCCACATCATTCTTCCGGCTCGGGCTCAAGTCCAGCACTTTCTAATAGCTCATCATCTAGTCCTGCACCACAAAGTTCCACACCAAGTCCACAAGAATCTCCGAAAAATTGCAGTTACATATATCGAGATTGATTGCAATTTAACACAACGCCGCCATCCTTAATGAATCATTCATCATCGCCTATTGTCAATCAATTATGTCAGCCAAATGTTAAGTCATTAACGACAACACCGTCTATGTCACGTAGTTCAACAAAATCAAATGCCAAAACATTACAGCCTAAAAAATCGTCCTCATCGCCATTGAGTAAGATAAAGTTTCATTCAATCTCAAAGCGTCGACAGAGTGGACAGAATTTGAATATGAATGAAAAATTTCAGCTCATTAAGAAGCACGGTACGTCATCGTCATCATTTATTGGAAGTGACGATTACGATTACATTAATTACGGTACAAATACGGATAAATCAAGTTGCAGTGGCGGTAAGTCATCGTCATTGAAGAAATATTTCCTCAAATTTGCTGGTGATAAAGTCGACTCGAACAGCCTTGAGGCAAAAAATTTATTTCATCTTAAGCGACATCATTATCCAACACGGATGACTGGAACGAAGGCATCAATTAGCGATGATAATGATTTTGATGTTTTGGATTTTTAAGAAAATTCAGTTTTTTTTTTCTTGTTTGTGAATTTTGATTTTGTAAAGCTTTTTTATATGGAATGGTGTGAGTGTTGAGTAGGTGATGGGATCTTACAGTCGAAATGGAGGAGTTGGTCTTGTATAGAATTGAAAATTGATTGGGAAATTGTTCGAAATTTTGTGAAAGCTTTGTTCAAGTTTGTCCATATTTTCTCAATAACTTTAACTTATTCTCAATCATAAAAAAAATCCAACTGCCTCCAAAAAAAAATCATGCCTAATCACGATTCATCCATAAGACATGCCAACAAGATTGAATAAAGAGACAGAGACACACAAAAATAAATTAAGTAAATTTACATACATATTGTCGCATAATCTTAATGGAAACAAAGTTCGATGATGATGACTGTAAGGTCCTTTTTTCCGATGATGAACAAAAAAAAACAAGAGCCAAAAAAAATAATTTTTTTTCTTAATTCACATCACAAAACATGTAGATTATAAGGAATGATAAATTTATACAAGATAGAGAAGGAATATGGCGCGCAATCTTTAATCTTAATTAAAAACATTTTTTCCATACCATCTTGTGGGCTTCTTTAATGAAAATATGAATTTTTAAAATTTCTCTTATAAACTTCTCTTCTGCTAGTACTACTAACCCCCCCTCGAGAAAAGGAATTTTAAATAAGTAAACAAGAAAAAAACTTAAATAAAGACGACATACTCCTCATATTATGTCCTGGTGGAGAGTCTTTGATATGGATTTCTTTTTTGTGATGGAAATTTTTGTCGTGTTTTGAGTCTTTTGAGGAGATTATTATGGAATCTTGGTTATTAAGTTTCATGTGGTCAAAACTTAGAATAAAGATGAACTTAAATTTAAATTTCTGATTTTTTTAAAAGAACTTAAATTTATATTTTTGATTTTCATATTCACACAAATTTTCAATTTTTGTGAATATTTTAAACTTAAATTTATATTTTTTGTGAATATTTTAAACTTAAATTTATATTTTCGATTTCTTTTAAAAAACCTTAAATTAAAATAATTGAAAATTCAAATATTCAAAATTTTGTTTTTGAAAATTATAAAAATTCAAAATCTTGTTTTATAAAATTTCATATTTACACAAAATTTTCAATTTTTGTGAATATATTTAAAATTCAAAATCAAAATGTTTTTAAATTTTAAAAATTCAAAATCATGTTTTTAAAATTTTAAAATATTTAAAATTATGTTTTTTAAATTTTTAAAAATTCAAAATTATGTTTTTAAAAATTTATCAATTCAAATATTTATATTTTTTGTTTTTAATTTTGATAATATATTATCTAAATTTTAAAAACGCTTAATTGGTTTTAATAAAATTTTAAACTATCAGATTTCAATCTTAAAGCCTTGAAAAACTCAAAATAAAATATAAAATTTCATTCAAAAAAGAATCCTTCAACTTACATCTTCAATATCCAGGCTAGTCTAACCCCCCTTCCAAGAACAAAAAAAAACCCAAAATATGAAATATAAATAATTGAAAAACAAGAAAACAAAAAAATTTCTCGCTATTTTAGCATCTCTATTTCTTCATAATAAATCTCATTAGGGCTTGTAATATAAAAATTAATGAAAAGAAAACTACAAAAAATAGTATATAAACCAACAAGTATATATATTTGATATAAAAAACATTGATAAATTGTTAAAAAAAATTATTTAATTAGTTCAATGATGATTGATTTTTATTTGAATATTAAATATTTAAATAAACTGCAAAATTATATATACAATATTATATATTTAATATACGGCATTATTAAATATTATTAAAGAAGTGAGAATGAATCTCTAGGACTTTTTTTCCTTTTTACTTTTAGTTGAACAAATCAAATTTTTTGTAGAAATTTAGCTGTAGGAATTTAAAAAAAATATTTAAAAAATTTTTGACAACAAATTAAATTTAGAAATGAGAAGAGTGAACAAAAGTGACAAGAAAAAACTCAAATAAAATTGTTATGAAATTTTTTTAAAAACAAGCTCATTCTAATTAAAATGCAATTTATTTTGCATAAATGCTATTTAATTGATGGATGAATAGCAAATTATTTTGATAATGTGATTCGTATTTAACTGTCAAATAATAGCATTTATGCTAATAAATTGTTAAAATAGGAAAATTAACTTTTAAGCCACATTAAGCAAAACTGTTCTCAATTTTGTTGAAAAATCGTGCAAATTTTGTAAATTTTGTTTTTAAAATAGATGAAATTTGAATGGTTTTTGCTTTTAAAGTGTGAAAATTGTGGACTTGAAGTGATTTTTCTGAATTTATTCAAAATTATTAAGGAAACATTTGGAGTTTAAAAAATGAATTTTATTAAAAATAACAAAACATAAGCTTTAAGAGACTTATATCCCTGTCTAGTTCTTCTCCTCATACCCTGTCTCCCACATGATTGGCAATCTGTTCGAAATCTATGCAACTTGATCAGCGATCGTTTCAGGACGACTCTAAACTAGTCAACCTTAAGCTAATACTATTTTCTGTCATATTTATTTATAACTTAGCTATTAAATGCAGCTACAATTATATAATTATTGCAGGTAGACTATTCCAAATTCCAGCACTAATGACAAATTAATTTTCTAAAGGTAGCTACTGAACCTTTTAATTTTGTATCAATGTACGAATCCCTGTCATATCGACAACACTCTTTATAATGATTGAGAGATCAGTCTCTGGTGGGAATCGAACCCACGTCTTCACAAAGGAGGCTTAAAGAAATCCAGTCTCTTGCGTAACCAATCGTGCCACAGAGGCCTGACTCTTGCAGTGGTAGATTCTCATATATAAGGCTCGATACCCCAGATTGTGCTCTGAAACCACAAACTTCTATAAAAACTATTTCTAATGACTTTAAAACAAACAAACATAAGAAAACTTTAAAAGCTACAAAAGTTCCCACAAAGAAAAACTTTAAAAGGATCTAAAATGAATCTCAAATTCTTCTCACGTCTTCTTAATAATTTTGAATAAAACACATAAAAAAACTTGATGAAAATTAAACGCGCAAGAATGATGAAAACTTTTTTAAAAAAACAAATAAGTAAAAACTAGTGTAAAATATATACTTAAAATCGATTTTTTGACTTTCTTCTAATAATACATACCAGAAAAAAACAAGATTATGATAAAAATCTCATGTACAATACATGAAAATTTATACAGAACAAAAAAAATTCAAGAAGAAATCATCATGAGGCTGCAATGAATGACAATTTCATTCGACAGATACATGAAGTAAAATTTATATTATATATACATAGACATAATATGAAAATATATAGCAACAATGAAAGAAGAAAGAATCCTTGTTGATAACAACAGAGCCAGATTATATATAAAAAAATTACAGAAGTCCTCGTGTTATTGATCGAGGGACTTAAGCGCATTTTTGTGTTAGCGATCAGTATTTGATTATGTAATTATTTTGCGTTCATTTACAGATCATGAGAAGATTAGAAGATCATTAATTTTAGTGTAATTAACAAAAAGTTACAATGAATGCTTATATAGAAAGGATTATTATTTAACGGTCAATAAATAATTTGAAATTTTGCCGTTAAAAGTTGCACTACGAAAAAATTAATTATAGTATAATTAAATAATTTGTTGCAATGAATTTCCATACAGAAAGGATTTATCATTTAACGGTTTTTTTTAATTCAAATTTTCTAACGGTCAGTAAATAATTTGAAATTTTCCCGCTATAAGTTGCACTACGAAAAAATTAATTATAGTATAATTAAATAATTTGTTGCAATGAATTTCCATACCGAAAGGATTTATCATTTAACGATTTTTTGTAATTCAAATTTTCTAACGGTCAGTAAATAATTTGAAATTTTGCCGTTAAAAGTTGCACTACGAAAAAATTAATTATAGTATAATTAAACAATTTGTTGCAATGAATTTCCATACAGAAAGGGTTTATCATTTAACGGTTTTTTGTAATTCAAATTTTCTAACGGTCATTAAATAATTTGAAATTTTCCCGCTATAAGTTGCACTACGAAAAAATTAATTATAGTATAATTAAATAATTTGTTGCAATGAATTTCCATACAGAAAGGATTTATCATTTAACGATTTTTTGTAATTCAAATTTTCTAACGGTCAGTAAATAATTTGAAATTTTGCCGTTAAAAGTTGCACTACGAAAAAATTAATTATAGTATAATTAAACAATTTGTTGCAATGAATTTCCATACAGAAAGAGTTTATCATTTAACGGTTTCTTGTAATTCAAATTTTCTAACGGTCAATATAATAATAATTTGAAATTTTCCCGCTATAAGTTGCACTACGAAAAAATTAATTATAGTATAATTAAATAATTTGTTGCAATGAATTTTCATACAGAAAGGGTTTATCATTTAACATTTTTTTGTAATTCAAATTTTCTAACGGTCAATAAATAGTTTGAAATTTTCCCGCTATAAGTTGCACTACGAAAAAATTAATTATAGTATAATTAAATAATTTGTTCCAATGAATTTCCATACAAAAAAAGTTTATCATTTAACGGTTTTTTGAAATTCAAATTTTACAACGGCTAGAAATTTTTTGAAATTATAGAGGTAATATTGAAATTATAGAGGTAAAATAAAATTTGAGCAGGTTACACTGAAAACAAAACAAAAATTCATTAATTATAGCATAAATACACTGTTTTAAGATTTTTAAATGTCCGGCGGGCCAATAACTCGATATAACGGAACTAATGCAAAAAACTAGAACTCTCTACGATGTCTAGATTAAAAGTTTTTCTTAGCGGCCGACCAGCCGACCAGCCGACCAGCCGACCAGCCGACCAGCCGACCAGCCGACCAGCCGACCAAAGTGCGTTATTAAGCTACCTTTTTGAAACAAGTTTCAAAAATGCGCTAAAAATGATTGCATTTACCACACAAATCACGAATCTCGTACACATTCATTCGAATTTTTATTGTTACA